AGCCCTCATTCTCAGTCAGCAGCAAGACAGCTGGAGTTCTCAGTTCAGCTCTTCCCATGGGAAGGTTAAAGCAGAATCCTGGCTGAAGGTGCATGACTGATCTCATCTTACAGAAAGACTGGCTGAGCTTTCATATCTACTGGGAAAATATTGGTGCAAGGAATGATGAGGGAGAAAGCTCTGTGTCTGTAATTTGCACTTCATACGTAGGAAAGCCTTAATCTGATCTATTAGTAATAAAAACACTTTTGCGAAGTATTAAAGACCATAATTTTAACCAAGACTAACTGGGAAGCAAGTGAATGAACTTGTCGAAGCGCAGTCACAAATTAAAAATATCTTAATCCTACATCTAGAAACCAGAGTCCAATCGGTGCTAGAGATACATATGAGAAGCAGCAATGAAGCTCTAACAAAACAGAAAAGAGGAAACAGTAGAGGAGAAGAGTAGGGTGTAAACTTCACACATTAGACTGGACAGTAACACCTGAATTTACCATTTTGTAGGAAATTTTTTCTTAAAGATGCTAATCAAATCACTCAAACAGTACAGTAACAATAAATGATAAGCCAAGCAGGTCAAGGGAGGGGATTCTCCCCCTCTACTCTTGGAGACCCCCCCCCCGCAGTGCTGTGTCCAGCTCTGGGGACCCCAACATCGGGACACAGACCTGCTTGAGCCGGTCCAGAGGAGGCCACGAAGATGATCACGGGGCTGGAGCACTCCCCCAGTGAAGACAGGCTGAGAGCGCTGGGGTTGTTCAGCCTGGAGAAGAGAAGGCTCCGGGGAGACCTTATAGCGGCCTTCCAGTACTGAAAGGGGCTACAGGAAAGGTGGGGAGGGACTCCTGATCAGGGAGTATAGTGATAGGATGAGGGGTAGTGCTTTCAAACTGAAAGAGGGCAGATTTAGATTAGATACAAGAAAGAAATTCTTCACTCTGAGAGTGGTGAGACAGTGGCAGAGGTTGCCCAGAGCAGCTGTGGCTGCCCCCTCCCTGGCAGTGTTCCAGGCCAGGCTGGACGGGGCTTTGAGCAACCTGGGCTAGTGGAAGGTGTCCCTGCCCATGGCAGGGGGGTGGAACTAGGTGGTCTTTAAGGTCCCTTCAAACCCAGATCATTCTGTGGTTCTATGAATCACACACAGAAAAGGAAAATCAAAGCTGGTTGATGACAGCCCTGAGACACTGTAATTCTTCAATGGAAAAATGAACTTCATTGCGGTGTTTAAAAAATAAAATGCTCATTTCAGAAGTCAGAAAACACAACACCTTGGAAGCAAGCTGTGCCAAAAATCTGCTTTGGGTGGGCAGAACACACTCTGTGGAATCAACTGTTCATATTTCAATCAACAGTAATCAGCTGTAACAGAGAAAAACATTCAACCAGAACAGACTGAATACTCTTTTCTTGTGGGAAGGAGACTCAAACCCCCTGCCTGGATGTAATTCTCTTAAATAGAACAACAAACTCCAACAAAGAAAGGGGACCAGAATTCTGACCTTCTGCTTTGAGGGAAAAGGTGATGGGCCACCTGGCCCTTCTGGCTACATTAACTTCATCCCTATCCACAAGCATCAGCTACAACTTAACAGTTGATCTCTGGTACAAAATAATAAACTGAGCGGGCACTCTCCTGGCTCTTGTCTTTGTTACTGCCTGGATAGAAGAATGTCTGACACCACCACCAGATGTTATTGTTCACTGATGGGATCTTAGACAGTGCTCTTCTCATGAGATACCACTCAAGTATGTTTCTCTAATGCAAATACTGTACTAACATAAAGTACATACCATACACTAACATAAAGAGCTTATGGACACAATCACCACTGCTAGATGGCTTTATTAAGTGTCTTGAACCACATTTCCCCCAAAGGTAATCCCCTAATTTCCAATCTTCAAAACAATTAGAGGCCTTTTTATTGTTGTTAAAACTGTCCACAGCACTGATTCTTCCACTATTACCACCAGAATCAAGTCAACCTTTCTGTGGGCCCCTCAGCCACACTTCTATTGAGGAACTCAAAAACCATCTTTTTCAGGGTATTCCTGTATCATTCCCAGCTTGCTCACCCTTCCTCAACATTGACTGCAAAATACCCCAAGTACTGTAGGAACCAAGTGAGTTTTTTTTGCAAAAAGCTTGAAGAAACCACCATCAGCAAATCAGCCCCAGTCCCAACCCGGGCCAAATCAAGCAGTGGGAGGGGGATGGCGAGAGGAGAATCGCTCGCTCTGGTGCTGCCTGTACTGCCCTTCAACAGCAAGTGCTCCAGGCGCTGCCTGAAGAGCAGCTTTTCACCACAGCATAATTAACTTTTGGAATTGGAGTACCTTTAGCATCCAAACTATTTGTAGGCTCCTTTACCTTGAGTATTTCTACATCGCTGGTGGTTTGGACATTTTCAGCAGTGAAACGGGTTCTAGACAAGGCTCTGGGGCTGCCCTCACCCCCCACCAAACCTAAATGACACTTCCTGGTCTGCAGAGTTTCCTTCTCAGGTGGAACAAGTTTAGCCCTTTCAAGCTCTTGTGCAGTTATATGCATCCATGAACAATGTTTTCAACAAAATGCTTTTTCACAAGTGCACAGGATTGTAACTGCATTCACAGAAGACTTCCATGACCCCTTGACTGAAGACTTTTTACAAGCAGAATCAAAACACTTTGTAGCTGTTTACAGCAGGGATGTAAGGAAGACTCAGGAGCTCCTAGATTCTCTTGCTCTCTGTCTCTGGTTCTCCCTGGGTGTCGCTTTCCATTTGGCCTAAGACTTCAGTTACACTCAGCCTGGATTGCCTAATGAGAGAAGGGAGAGTGCAAAATAATTTTATGCCTCCTGACGAAGGCATCACTGCAGAATCCCAACTCCTGAAAAGTTTCTTCTGGAACTGGCAATATTTGTGAGTTTTAGTAAGTCACACAACCAGTGTCATAACCTTTTCTCCCCAAAGCCTCCAGCTGTCCTTCTTCTTTCCCCTCTTTAATGGAGATGGAAGGAAGGCAGCAATGAAGGAAAAGCCAGAGTTCTGGCCTCTCTCAATTTTAATGTGCTTGTCCTGCTTGTCTTCTCAGCCACTGCAAAAGTGAAAACCTGATGCAGAATTACTGGGCCAAGGCAGGGCACAAATTTTAAAAAAAAAACAAGAGAGAAGGACCGAGGTTTAGAAAACCTAGTGTGTCACGGTTTAAGTGTTTGAACCCCACAGACCTAGACACACATCTCGTCAAAGACTCGGAAAGGCAGAGCTGTTCCTTACCACTCCATTAACTTCTGTTCATACAGCTCCCTGCGCTCACGACTTCTCTTCTCCTGCAAGGTCTCACCGGTAAGTTTCTGCATTATGATTAAGAGGCCCCCTGCAGGGATCCTAGAGGAGGAAGCAGAAGAGTCACAAGTCACCCAGGGGACATGCAACAGTAATAACTTACCAGCATCAGCAAAAAGAGCATGCGGGGGCCAGCCACCAGATCAGTGGAGCATAATGTTTCCCAATACTCACATCACACCGCAGACTAAGGTACTCCTATTCTACTGCCAGCCACCAAACACAGCCTGTCTTCAGCTGACTCACTGTAGCCCCTTCGATAACATAATTTGAATTCACTCATTGACAGGCACCCACAGGACAAAGGGGTGGAAGGATTTAAGGTGCCCAAACAACTCCTGTAGATCACCTAACCCATAATTTAGACAGTCACACCCCTGCTTAGCTTCTGTCCAGCTCTGGAGGTACTTGTGTTCTCCCTGGTAAAGCTCCCTAGGCTGCTTCCAGGCACGCCCACAGCTGACACCATCCCGACAGTGCTAAGTGGCACACATAAAGTTCATTCTCTTGTCCAGGCACAATCCCCAAATTCACTTGTGAGGATATTCACAAGTCAGTACTTAGAAGAGAAATCCCAGTTCTGCTTGAAAAATCAAGACTTCTCCTGAGTTAAGAGGTCATTGTCCTGATGGACAGAGCCCCTGAGAGAGAACCGTGGGTTCCTCCTTGCCTCAGGGAGCCTTAGGAGATACTGCCTGCAAGACATCCACAAAGAGCTGTGCCACCTTACAGCCTTGGGTTGAGCAGCCCAACCACACAGCTTCTTCCTCAGCATTTCCTAATGGCTGCTGCTCCATATTCTGGCTTTGATGGAGCCTATTTTGTAAAAAAATAATTTTTACACACATTCCTAGCCTAGGGTTTGGCAGTTCCCAGGGTGCTCCCTTCTTCAAAAGGTGTCATCATGACAGTCAACATCCCTTATGCACCATCTGGATTCTGAGCTGCTACAGAAGCAGTGGCTGATGAAGCTAAGAAGGGAGCCCAAAAGGTGTGTCTTATAGTCCTGCCTTTACCCACAGACAACACATTCCCTTAAAACAGATGTCCAACAGTTCTGCACACAGTGATTGGGCTCATCAGTGACCATGCCAAGGGAGGAGGACAGGAGACATGTCTATAACCCATCCTCACAATTTCCTATTTAACAGTAGTTAGTGTCTCCTCCAATAAGCAAATAGCAGCAAGTAAGATGTTCTATTAAGAGCACTGAGTTCTTACCACTGAGGAAGCAGGAAAACACAAATCAAGAAAAAGAGAAGGAAAAAAAACAGTTTAAAAGCTGGAAGAAAAGTCATCATCATGAGGTCCCAAGAGAGCTACAGAAAATCCCTCAAGGTAAGAGAGGAAGGGAAGCTTCTGTAGCCCCATCTATGATTCAAGGCTTGGTGTGCAGGGCCACCATCTAACAAACACCCCTGAAGAGTAGCTGTGTCTCGATCACTCATTGGCAGCAGTCACAACTCACCCAAACGCTGTTCCGAACACGAAGCCGCCTGCGAGTCCCTGCAGGCCCAAGTGCATTCTGAAAATGGCTCCTGTGAGGGCTAAAAAAACCACAAACCCACTGAAACCACAAACAGCCCCCCACCAGCCATCACATACAGACAGAGGGAGATGCTTTGCTGCACTTCTCCTCTCCGTGAGCTGACATCTGCTTCTAACAGTACAGAAACCAAGTGCTGTGGCCAGCGGGAGGGACCCTCACCATACAGTCACCACAGTCGCTGCACTAAAACATTGCACAAAGCTCCTTCTGCTTCAGAAAAACTCCCCAAGAAATGCTAAGATGTATCTATGAAAGTAAAATCCGAGCTCTCTCCAGGCTGGAGCATGATATCCTTCCCCCTTTTCTTTTTTCTTATTCAACAACAGCTAATAATAGTAGCTGCCATGTAAGGCAGAAAAGATCAGTAAAAACATGTATCCAACTGTAAGGGCAATAAAGCCTGTAAAACTAAACAAGCAGATCACTTACCCAGAGCCCTGTTGCCAAAAGCAGATATGCAGAACTTAGAATGAAAAGGGTAGTTTACAAACAGTGCACTGAACTGTTATAAAGAGCGGAAATGTTTCCCCTGCTAAACAGGGTTTAAGAGAGCAGCTTATGCACCCAGTGTTGCCTTTACCCTACACATGCATTCTTCACCCCAAAAACTCCAGCAAGTATTCTGAAGATGAACTGATAACCACAAAACTCCCCAATGGTTTCAGAAGTGCATCGAGATCTCTCTGTTACAAACATGCAGCAGTTAAACAACGGAGCAAAGTCACAATGGCAGTTGGTAGAGCAGGAACAAATCCCAGGAGCACAGAAGCTAGAGACCTGCTCAAATCCAAGAGATGGGGATTTCTGCTTATGCTTTTCCACTTATGACCCTTGCTCATAAAAAGTACACAAGGTTATAGCAGTCTTACCTCCTGCTGAAGCAAAATTACTGACGGTGGTTTTATTGCGGTACACAGACAGACCAGTGCTCACCACGCTGCAAAGAGATGGCACAGAAGAAGTCAGCAGTTGCATACGGAAAAAGACAGGTAGCAAAACACAGCCTGAAACAAAGCTGGATTTCCTTAAGCCAACCCTATGGTTGCCTCCAACTGCCTTGTTGCCCACCTGTCCAGAGCGCACATGTGCCAGCCACGAGTGCCTTGATCTTCTGTGACTTTACTGCTGGCAGCTGCACGGCCAGAGGCCAGGGAATACCAGGATTCCCAGCCTGGATCTGAGATATTCTTTCTTTTTCTTTTTTTAATGATTTTTTTTTCCATTGTCTGTTCAAGGATAAAAGGAATTGAGCAATGAAAAGGTCCTGTCAGTCAGCCCTGATGCAGGATCTTTACCCGCAGAAGCTGAATCCATGTGTCGGCAAGATCCTGCCTGACAGACAGTGCCCACTAGCAGAGCTAAGTCACACTCATGTTGGCATGGCCACCTCTTCTTGCGGCATGAGACTTCCCACCAGGGTAGGCACACCATCTCCTCAAAAAAAGTCAGTTAAGCCCCAAAAGACTCTCTGTTCTCAGTTCAGCAGCCACAACCTCCCCAGCACTTTAGTGAGGCTCCTGCATGACATCTACAGTCAACAGCAATCTTCCTCTCCTTCCCAACGCTATAACATCACCCTAGCCTTTGTACAAGGTAAAACTACACAATTTGGTTTTAAACTGCGAAACTCAAAATTTGCACAACCGCAGGGCAAAATCTTCAACTTGGACTTTACAGAAACAATTAAAGCTGAGCAGGAAATATCTTCTTTCAAAGCCTTTTACAAAGGGTTGGTGAGAAAGGGTGATGATCTGACTGCATGGGAGACATCTGGTGGAAGATGAGGAGGTTACATGCCAAGCCCAGGGAAATCTGAAGAAATCAGAACCTCCAGGAGAGAAAGCAAGCAGTATGCCAGCTAAACCTAAGAACAGATACTAAACCAAATGGAGCCAAAGAAGCCAAAAAAGCTCATGAAGAAATTCAAAAACAAACAAAAAACTGAGAGAGATGGAAATATAAAACAATACCAGTTGATACTGCTGGTATCTTAAAAGCAGAGGGGAATTTAAACAGAACATCCCTGCAGATACAGTCAATGAAGGTTTAGGACTACATATATATTCATCATTCTGAACATCAGGGAAGGAGATATTCCCAGTTTAAAAGGGCTTTATTTGGAAGAGTGTGCTTAGTTTGATGCTATATTGTCAGAAATGCACTGACACCTCTGAGGGAGAAAAACAGGGAAGCAGAACACTATCTCTGCGTTGGCTGCACATGTGTAGGAAAAATGTGAAGGCCTAAAGAGGTACATACAAGTGGTAGGTCTGATGTCCAGCGACTGCTTAATAACAGGATGATCATCTGCAAGCGTTTGAGGACAAGAACAAAGAATTGTGAGTAATGCTAGCGTATACAAACTAGGAGTAATGAGACAACCAAAAAATTAGAATGGGATAGAAAGTTCTTCCAAAACCAGCCAACACATTATAACACTCTCCCAGAGGAAAATGAAAAAAAAAAAAGAGATGAAGCAAAGGCAGAAAGAAGCCGTCAAGTACAGGGAAGAACAGTATTCAAGTCAGCAACAGCATAGATGAGATGTAAGGAACAGGACTTCTCCAACTTTAGGTTTTTTGTTGATTCATTAGATTTGAATTCTAGGATAACTATAAAAAGTTAAATCCTCTTCATGTTCACACCTTCTCAATCAGCCTCACTGTTACCACATCACTTTGAGCCTCAATCAATCACCAGGACTCTCTCAAGGAGCTGCAAGCACTGCTGGCACGAAGGGCTCCTCGCCCCTAGCACTTAAGCAGAAGCCAGCTCTTCTCCCACTACCATTGGGAAACACTTACTTGAATATTGTCACAAAAACAGCTACTCTCCAGCTCCAGCGCCAGCCGTAGCGGATGAAACTCCTGAGACCAGCCCGATGTGCAGATTGCTACGGGGGAGAGAAGACAGGTTACAGCTCACAGCCCTGCTCCCCCTCGCCAGCATCGCCAGCACCACCAGCCCGTGGCAAGCTGGAGTATTCGCAACAGGTTGTGGGACTCGTGTCACTTGGGAATGATACCCTGACCCTCAGGGATCACGTCAGCCATCTTCAGAGGAAAAGCCGCTCACATTTACCCCAGCCACCAACAGGAACACCAAGAATTAATTCCAGTCTTTCTAATCCCAGTGCTGAAACACATCCTGGGGGACAGGGAGAGCTTTCTGAGGAAAAGTGGGAGAGCAGCAGAGAAGAAAGGGGGATGAACTAGAAACTAGTTCTCAATTATTACAATTTTGTAAGTACTAATAAATAATAACCATAAGAAGTTTAAATGTTAAGGGACCATCAGGCTCTGGATTTTAGCACTGCTGCTTAAAAATTGGGCAATATACAGCTTTTTAAAAGATGTAAACATAAGCTTCATAAAAATTAAAAATATTCCAGTTAATACCACGGAAGAAAACAAATTCTCTCTTCTAGTGCCTGTGGTGTTAAGTGCTTGGCCTGGGTGCAGGTATACAAGAGTGTCCGCAGAAGGGCAGAGTGAAACCAGGCACCGATACTTTGCAGGTTGCTTGGAGAAGGGCCAAATCTAAATAGCCACGTGAAATTAAGCAGATTTTTAAAGGGTTTTTTTCCTAATAATCCAGGTAAGCAACACTTTAATTTAAGAGCAAACTCCCAGTTTAGTGTAGTGATAAGCTAAAGGAATTTTAAGTGGTCTTAACTCACACGAGCATAAGGGCAACACCAGTTGGACACTGGGAGTTCTCTTGCCGACATACTTAAATTTAAAAGCCGAAAGCCAAGCCGAAGGGGTTACTGAGCCATATAACACCCACCCAGAGGCGCTGACCTAACCGAGGCCGCCGGGTGCCCCGAGGCCTCCTGTGCCCCCACACCCTGCGGGCTCCAACAGCAACTGCTCCCGCCCGGAGCCTCCAGGAGGCCTGAGCCTGCGGCGGCCGTGGGGCGCTTCCCCGGGAGGCCCGACCGCTTTCCCCGTGGACACCCGGCCCTCCCCGCGGGGCTCCCGGCGCGGGGCGCGGGGCGCGCTCGTACCAAGGCGTC